TCTAATACTCATCCCACTACATCTTATCCTTCAGATTAAATCGACCAAAGATTTATTCTGACACTTCTTTCAATTTCTACCAACAGTCACTCTGGATGGCATTTGTAAACCCATCCCTTACAGACTCTCTATCACCTTCCAAATGGCATCTTTAAGTCTATTCCCGACACAATCAACCACCACATTATCGAGTACAAATTTCTGGACACTATAGTTTTTAATCATCTTCCACCTTCAAGTCACTAATGGCGGACTCGCCAATCTAACTCTTCAGGTTTAAGAAAATTGAACAGGGACAACTGTTGTACCCCAAAATTTTCCCTCTCAATTTCTCAAGACATTTCTCACAAAGATTTTCAAAATCTCAATTTTACACAAGTACAATTGGACTTTCAAGTGTCAGGTCGAAGAGGAAACTTTCGAAAGGGCAAAGCAGACAAAAAATGTGTGTCGAATTCAAAATCTGGTTCAGGCTGTTTGAACTACATGACTGATCAAAAAGAGTGGCTGGAAGATTTTGGCAAGTCGAAGAAGAGCAAGCTTGCTTCGATTTCACAAGCATCGATTGGGCAATGGCTTCCTTCATGCTTTCTTTAATCCATAAGGCAATGGATTCCTCTATGCTTGTTTCGATCCACAGGGTAATGGCTTCCTTAATGCTTGCTTTGATCCACAAGGAAATGGCTTCCTTCATGCTTGCTTCGATCCATTAGGCAATGGCTTCCTTTATGCTTGCTTCGATCCATAAGGTAATGGTTTCCTTCATGCTTGCTTTGATCCACAAAGCAATGGCTTCCTTCATGCTTGCTTTGATCCACAAGCTTCGATTGAGCAATGGCTTTCTTCATGCTTGCTTCGATCCACAAGGCAATGGCTCCCTTCAAAAAAAAACTGCTTCGATTCCACCTCTAAACCCTTTGACACACATAGTTTCTACACTATGAACTATAATTTGAGGTTTGGACATTTGAACTTTAGACCACTTAATCAACTGATGGTTACTGGTAGGAAAGAAATCCATAAATTCTTTCGTTTTGACTATGCCAATTAGACCATCTTGCATGCTCAATATTTGAGACCATTCGAAGGACACATATTTGGTGGAAACAAATATTGTTTCATCTGTTGTTGAGTCTGGTCAAAGGTTGTGTGGTCCATTCGAAAAACACACATTTGGTAGAAACAAATATTATTTTGCCTGTTGTTGAATCTGATCAAAGGTTGTGTGGTCCATTTGAAGGACACACATTTGGGGGAAACAAATATCATTTCGTCTGTTGTTGAGTCTGGTCGAAGGTTGTGTGGTCCATTCGAAGAACACACATTTGTTGGAAACAAATATTGTTTCGTCTATTGATGAGTTTGGTCGAAGGTTGTGGATCTATGTGATCAAAACGAAAAGGTGAAGTATTCAAGATGCTTGTTGAACAAAGTCCTATATGCTGCCAAGACCAAGCCTGCTATACTGCTATGAAACAACCCTGCACCAAGCTGCCACAACACTTCAAAACTACTGCAAACTAGTCCAAGCCTGTATTATCTCAGTCCCATATTTGCACCAAACTAGCATATAAGAGTTGCACCTTGAAAGCTATGAAAATAACATACCCAAACTGTTCAAATTTCATTTTGTCCCCCTCCCCCCCCACCCCCAAACTCCAGCAAGACTCTTCTATAAATAAGTTGTTTCCACAACACACAAAGGGGGCTTTGGAACAAGAAAAGAGGAGAAGAAAAAAAGAGAGAGGAGTGAACACAAAGGCTGAAGCCTTGAAAAACTCTTAAACCCAGAACCAAAAAACACAACACCTTTATTCTTTTCTTTCGAACCCAAGAACATTCAAGACAACAACCCATGTTCGAAGCACACATTCCAGCTTCAAGGCAAGTCTTCTTAATTTTAAACCTTTTTGTTTCAAGCATCATTGAATCATTGCCTTCGAAACTTCTCTTTTTGTTTGTTTTCCTTTCTTGTCAAGAACTAACCTGTACAGACCATAAAATAATGTTGGAGTGAAAAATTACAGCATGGTTCGACACAAAGCCTTAGGCTTTGACACACACTGCTTTACAGGCCCAAACAGAAGAAAAAAGGGTGTGTGAATCGAAGGGTGCATGCTTCGAACATACTGCATGAATAGAAAGATTTGTTTTTTCTCTGTGAACCGAAGGGTGTATGTTTCGAACCATACTGCATGAATTGAAAGATTGGTTTTTCCTCTCTTTTGCGCTATTTTTTTTAATGTTTTCTATATATTTTCTTTCATTGCTATTCAATATGGTTGTAATAATTAGGACTGTTATTGCTTTCCACACTCCATTTGTAAATTTGTATACCCCATCCCCAAATGATGTAATAGCTTAGGATTTTAATTTCCGCAATTTACTACTTTAATATAAGTTGTTAGTAATTAGGGTGTGTATGGCAAGATAAAATCAACCGTTAGAAAACCCTAATTTCAAAGACAAAAATGCATGCAATCAAACACACTATTTACACACATGCACCTCTAGGGTAACCTCGCTTGTTGCCTCGAAAAATAGTCATGTCTCTCGAATATGGGCGTTTTAGCAAAGACCCTCGATAAAAAAGATCGTAGTCCCTCGATGTTCCTCGATGTTGCCTCCGGTAAACGATCTAGTCCCTTACGAAAATTACTAAAACGTCTCATAAGTTGCCTTCTATGACTATACAATTGACCCACGTCCGTCCCTTCACATTCAATGATGGGGATTCTTACTAATCAATGGTAAGGTAGCAACATCTAAAGGAGGAGGAAAAGAACATAGACCTTTTGAGTAGGTACGACTCCCGTAGTTGCTTGCTCATAAACTAAAACCATTTCTACACTTACACTTTCAAAACATCTTCAAAAATAAACATCTCTTTGAACTATTTTCAAAACCAACACTTTGTATAAATTCTTATAGAGGCGAGAATTATTACAAAGTTTGCCGCAACAAAGGCGTTTTCAAAATATTTTCAAACTCACACCACAAAGCACATTTCAAACAAAGAAAAAATAATCTAGCAAGCAACTAAGAGCCCGTAGATAACTACAGATGAAAAGGGTGCTAGCACCTTCTCTTTTCATAACCTACCCCCCGAACTAAAAAAAATCTCAAAGGTCTTTCCTGTTCTTTTCACCCTTTCCTTTACTGGATAAAAGAAAAGTCGGTGACGACTCTTGCTATCTGCAACAATTGCGATAAAACACAAAATACCCAAGTCAGTTCTCCCACCGTATCACAGAACTGGCGACTCTGCTGGGAAGTAAACTTAAGAGTGGGGTTACCTTAGAGCTAGATCACCTTTATAATGCTTTCTTTGTTTGACTTGCTTGCTTTACGTTTTTGGATCCTTGTTTGGATTTTGTTTTGATCCAACACCCGGATCTGGGGCACCTATTAGGTAAGTAGCAATACATTTTAGAAACTGTACGGCGTAGACCGATATGGTTGAAGCAATAACTACGTTAGTGTGACGTATTTGTTGGTACCGGTATCCTTTGTGTTGAATCGAGGAGAATACGGGGCCGCTGAGCGGTGTCATGAAGTACTAACTAACCTTAGAATCTTTAATTGAACAACTTGGCCATTAGGAAGTAGTGAGATAGCTGACACGGTGTAAAGCTGAAGATTGGTTGATACTCGATACTACGCTCATTGAGATCAGACTTTTGGAATATCTCGACCGTAAGAAAAGATTGATTGTGCTGAGACAATGCCCAATAAAAAAAGATCAGTGATATTAAGATTCCATAGAAGTTAAGCATATAAGAGACATTAGATACTATGATAGTTATCCACAAGAAATTTTGGACATGTATGTAGCAGTCTCTCTTGATAAATCCTCTATAAGGATAGTTTCTTTATAGTCTTCTTAGATTTTGCGCTCTATAATCCTAAAATAAAAACCAAATATCTTATAAATAATAAAATAAATTTAGTAATTTAATTCCTTGAAATCATGTCAAATATTTGGTATAAATTAGAAATTATGTTTCATGTATAGGTGAGAGTTAAACCAACATATTTCTTTGTAATCTTCTTGAGCTTTGCCCTCCATAATCCCCAATTTTTTTTTGAATATTTTATAAATAATAAAATAAATTTAATAATTTAATTCTTGTATATTATGTCACATATTTGATATAAATTAGAGATTATGTTTCATGTATAGACGAGAGTTCAACAAACATGTTCGTTCAAAAACTTGAAAAATATCAAATAATAATAGAAAATATATACTTAAATTTAAAATTTTTCACGAAAAAATGAGAGTACGATTAACCCAACAAATCCCACATTCTTAAAACCTAAGATTTATTAAAAAAAATCATATTTATTCTATTAATATCCGCGTCTAAAAAACAAAAAAAAAAACCATATTTAATATAAGTTAGAGATTATGTTGGATATATATTTGCATTAGTAATTTTTATCTAAATAAGTAAGTATCCAAACAAAATGTCTGTATACATGATTCCTCTTATTTCTTCTAGAATCAATAGTTTAATATATGATTTAGAAAAGTTAAATAAATATAAATAGCAATGAATCAAAAATCTATAATATTTAATTATTTTAACAAAAATAACATTAACATATATTTTTTGTGTCAATAACAAAGTAATTTAATAAAACTAATACTATTTTTACTCAAATCAAATTTGACCAAAAATAAACAATAACAAAAATATTTTTTTTCTAAAAAAACATACCAAATCCAGCTAGGCGATCATTATTAAAAAAAAAACATCTCTTAGTTGATATTAATGAATCAAAACCCTCTCTATAAAAAAATAAAAAAAAAAGCCCTAAAACCAAAAAAAAAAAAAAAAAAAAAAAAAAAAAACCGAGCAGCGGCTAAATTACACGAAACTAGTAAGTAAGTGAGTTCCCCTTTGCCCTCTTTGTACTTGTTACTCAACTCAAGCCAGCCCAAACTACAAACTCCAACGGAATAATCACCCGGAGTTGCTCTTCAACCGCCGAGAATGGTGAGAATTTCTTACACCTTTCCCTCTTTTTCGTTTTTCATTTTCGGTTTTTTAACTTCTCTTGTAGCGTCTCTGAGGATGGGATTCCATCCAAATTTCCTCTCTCATTTCGCACTAGATCAGAGCTTCACTTTGCACTTCAATTGTTCCATAAAGCGGTTTGTTTTTATGTATTCATATCGATGAAAGTTTGTAAATCTATTTACACTGTACATGCAATTCTGCATTTGGAAGATAATTCTGGATTTGAACTCATACCTCAAGTCATACACTTGTAATTAATCTATGTGTTTTTGTTAATGTTCGCTTCATAATCTTTGCCCAAGTACTTTGCTGAATCTGGTTTGCTTGCTTATATCAGACTGGGGCTATGGATGTGTCAGAGTCAGGACGTGAATATGGGGCTAAAAACACTGACGACACCCCTGTGACGGGCACTTCTCAGAAAACTCGAGGGGGTAAGTTATTCACATTCAACTGGTTATCTCGTTTGTGCAATCTGTTGTGCTATGCTTGTAAATGTATGTTTGGATAGTTGATGATTTATTGAACTCTTGTGTCTCGATGCATTATTACTAGCCAAGCTATAAATTGTTGCTTTAGGAAGGATGTGTGTCAAGTTTAACATCACTGTGAAAACTCTATTAGATTACATAGTCTCTTGTGTTAATGATAGTCATGCAAGTTTGATATTTAACTGTACTAATGTTTACTCTCTAGAGCTTATATATCATTTAATGATTTCATGATTTGATTATGATGAACGCACACTTTTTGGCATATGAAAACTAGACTTTTATTATGTTACCCTATTTATTTCACATACAATACAACCATCGGTGAATGTTAATAGATTTTAAACGGTGAATCCATGCATTTAGTTCCTTATAGGCATTTGTTTCACGTGTAGAAGTGTAAGAGAGCATCGTGTATTAACCTAAGCTTCATTGTTTTGGTTATGTATCATTTAGTTTTATTCTTATTATGATGGGGTTCCATAATTGATTCCTCATTGTCATATAATGCGCTGAATGTTTGTGATTAGTTGGGCATCTTTTCATATGATGCAATTTGCAAATACAATTTTGTGATTTCATGATGTTGGTTGGATGGATACAAGTCACTCATTGGGCAATTTTTTTTCTCCTTCGTAACAGGTGCTGAATCTCGATTTCGGAAAAGAAGCAAATATTTATCTTACCCCTACACGAATAGTGAACCAAGACTTAAAAGTTTTCCAGCTGAAACAGAAGAATCAAAGACTCCAAGTCCCACCCCTAAAGCAAAAGCTTCAAGCAGAAACAGTAATCCTAAAAATGGATCTCTTTCATCAACTAAATTGGGTGGCACGAGGTTCCAAAATAATTGGTACAGAAAATTCATCAGCTGTAGTAAAATGTCTAGCAGTTCAAAATTCATCGGTGCATCTTCCAGTGACTTACTTTCAGGACTGCACTCTTTAGCTGTTGGTAGTATGTCTCCAATTAAAGATAAGAGGTTTGATATGGTTGAGTGGTTCTTCTGCAAATATAGAATATCAAAGTATCACGATGAGACTGAACTTGCTACTTCTCTGTTTAATCCGAATGAAGGGAAAACATCGAACCCTGGGGACAATGGTGTCATGGATACCAAAAGTGAGAAGAAGAAAAAGGACACTCAAACAGAAAATGCAGCAAGGCGTAAGATGAAATCTCTTTCTGGCCTATCCAATACGAATACTAATGTTTCTACTGGCGATTGCACAGGTTCGGGGAAAAAATCCAAACAAAAGAGGAAGGTGGAAGAAAGAAATTCGCAGCCTCAGCTACAAAATGCAGAGACCACTTCCCAAAATCATAATTTCCCGTCTTCTGAGAAAAAGACTAAGCCTAAAAAGAGACCCAAGTTAGAAGCTGCACAAGAGCATCAGGGTGCTCAATCTGCTTCACATTTGGATGCAAAAAGTATCGAATGCAACTCACTAGTTGTAGATTTGCAGGTTACGCCTCCACCTAAGTCTGTTGATTTTCACCAGAAAAGTAATGGTGAAATTAAGGAAGAACAAGTTTCGAATGTTTCAAATCCAAAGTTACGTGTCTCCCAAGGCGAACTTGATGGAAATGTTACCCCTAGTAAGTTGCTGGGGAGCACATCAGAGGCTAGTACTGTCGCCCCCAAAGAAGGACTTGTTGGAAATTTTACCAACCACAACTTGTTGAATGATACTACATCAGATGTTGACAATGTCTCAATAAATAAAACAGGCGCAGAGGTAGTACCAGAGGAGCATCCAAGAAAGATACCTGATTTGAACAGTATTAGCTTTGAATCATGTTCTACGAGAAAAGAGTCTGAGAATGTCAACATGCTTTTACCTGAATTGCAGTCACAAAACCCAAGAAGTTTATCTGCTTGTTCGAGAATTACTAAAGCTGTAAACCTTGACAGAGTGGAGATCATTGGAGAATCACCTGGAACCTTTCTCTTCCTACAATTTTCTCAAGGACCAGGAGTTGATATCCCATCAAATGAGGATTTGTTGAAAACATTTTGCCAGTTTGGTCCTTTGAAAGCAACCGAAACTCATTTGATAAAAGACAATACATGTGCTCAAATTGTTTTTGTTAACAGCCCAGATGCTACTGAAGCATTGCGTAGTTTAGAGCATAACAAACCATTTGGTGCAACTCTTGTGGGCTACAGACTCCATTATCCTCCTGCTGTGGTGACTCCACCATTGGAGCACATCAGGACTTATCCTCCTGCTGTGGTGACTCCATCATTGGAGCACTTCAGGACTCCAACTCAGCCATCTATCTCTATGTCATTGTCTGGTGAGACACCTCCTCCCCTTCAGGTTATTAAGCAAAAGTTGCAGATGATGTCATCAGTGCTGGAGAACTCAGGGAATAATCTTTCACCCGAGACGAGAGCCAAATTGGAAAATGAAATAAATAATCTACTGGGAAAGGTGAATTCTAGGACTAATAGAGTATGAAAATTAGTATGTGAAGTTGTCCCATTTAAATTAAGCATCACTAGTGAAATTTGTATGTAGATTATATTAGACTAGTTTGGGTTTCTGTTGTAGTCCTTCAGTTGTTGCTCTGTTGGACTTTCCTACCCATTCTTTGATTTTGCACGAAATGGGGCAAGGGGATATGTATTACTGATTGTCATTTGACTACCATCCCAATCAAATATCTATCAAATCTTTCATCCATATTTATGGTGTGTTTTATTTATTTGCTTAGAGAAATGCTAGTAACTCCCTTTAAGTATATTTTTTTATTGATTAAACTTTAAATGTGCCCCATTCTATTATACGGATCTCATGTAAATTTTATGAGATCCATATAAATTTATTCAATAAAAATGGTGTTGAAAAGTGTATCTTAGATATTGTATGGCTGTATTTTTTATTTATCTTATTTTTGAACATGAATGCTAGTATGTTAGTGCAATGTTATGATTTATGAAATCAAGGCAGGAAAAAAAATCTATAAAAATTTATAGGCCAAACTCAGACATGGGGAAAAAAACCAAATAAAGTATATAGGCCAAATTCAGACCTAAAATATGGTTTCTCCTACACTATCATGAAAAGACTAAAATATTTTCAACATACGGAGATTTATCTTTGAACACACCTTTTCCATTCACAATTGAAATAAAAATGGTGATAAACCTTTAGTATGTTAAAAATTGATCCGGAGATGCATCTCCGTATGAATAAAATGTTGATTCTGAGATACATCTTTAAAATTCTCCTTAATTCATTAGTCAGTGAGTAATTTGGATATGCATCTCCGAAATTCTGTCTGTTATATCAAAGCAAAAACAACAATGACATAATGAAATTCAAATAACTTAAAGTAACTCCAAAGTAAACTTTACATAAATAAACATTATATAAATTTAATATTACATGTTATTAAAAACAGGTAGTTCAGAACGTTGCAACATTATAATAATATCTTCGGATAATCTTTGAATCGCTGGCGTCCACTTCAAGCAGAATCTTTGTTGAGTAACGGCAGAAGGTACTCCACATCACCTGTAAATCATCACCCGTCTTCAGTTCAAGCAATGTAACTAGCTTCCCTTCGCTGTCTATCGAGGGTGAACGATACTTGAGCTTGACAATTCTTTGATTTTCAGGATATTGTAGGAGAGTATTCAGTTTGGTTTTCAAATCAACGAGAAATGTATCCATGCAAATTCAAAATTGAAATGAGTGTGTTGTGCCATTGAAATACACAAAAACGAGATGGGGGATATGTAGATATTCTAGTTTGTGTAAAGAAAATGGATTGAGAGATCCTATTTATAGAAGTTCTAGAGTAATAATGGCCTCACATACATGATTATCTCTAAATGAAAGACTTTGGAAATACATCTCTGAATCTCCGATATTTTTTCAAATAATAAGGGTCGCTATGGATTTGTATCTCCAAATGATCCCTTATTTTTTTAATAAATAAAGGTGAATCCAGAGATGCATCTCCGGATCCACCCAAAAATTATGCAGAACACAGAAGCATAGTTATAAAGGGCATAATTTCAAAAACAAAAATTATCTAAAAAATACCACCCAATTTTATAACATTATGAGGTGCGCTACTTACAAAAAACGCGTTACACTATTAGATTACAACTAAAACACATCAAAAGTTAAGTCACTACCTAAATCTATTGGTGGCTCAATCTTCAACCTTTTTGAAATTCTGGTATGTCAGACTTCAACTGTCCTATAGGATGTCGAGACATCTGATCTGACTAAAACAACATAGAAAGGTATAAATATAATCAAAATAGTACTAAAAAGTAAAACAACACACATAATTGTTAACTCAGTTCGTTGTACAACAACATCTACTATGTGGGCTACCAAGCCAAGAAGGAAATCTAGTAAACAATATCAATTCAAAGCTAAACTCCCCCATTTATAACTTATCACTTAATCACTACCCTATGCAACTTCTACCTAGGTCATCTCTAGATATGAGAAATCCCATCTCACCTCCAATCACCGCAGTGATGTCTAACAGTCCCAGTCCCAGTTACTGCATCTACGACCTTTCACCTAAATGAAGATCACACTTCAAATACAAAAACACCTTAATCAAGACACCCCTTGATTAAGAACAACATACTTGATCGTGCTTAAAGCTATGGTCAAGAACAATCCTTAGAGTTGCTAACAAGTTTCCTCAAAGAACAATAACCATTTTATGCTTAACAACTTAAGAATGAATAAAAGAGAATTACAACTCTATAACAACAATCTTACTCTTCTATCAACATGATATTAGAGAGTCTCGCAAATAACACAGACCAACTCTCATAGAGAGTGACACACAGACGAAACTCTAACACTTTTACGTACTAGACCGTACCAACTTTAAGTTTATAACATTCTATTTATAACTTTTTTTCCTAACTGGATTTGGGTTTCAAAAATGCAATAGAGAGACTGCACAAAGTATGCAAAAACTTCTCCAAGAAAATAGGTCTTCAATCATAACTTTCCTAAAATGTCTCCATATTTAAAAAGTTTGAATATATTGAAAAACCAACATAATATCTCTGATTTGTCAATCTTGGATGCAATCATGTTTGGAAACACCTCTGATATATTGGAAAACAATCTCGAGCTGAATACTCTCGCTCCTTGAGAGAACATCCAAGCCTTTCGACTTCTTCTCTTAACAAGGACACATCTGAAAGATGTCCTTCCAGATCTATACATGTTGTCGTGACTCTTTGGATGGCTAAGATGTCATGCACACTTGGTGTGACATTACTCAAAAGCTCCAAAAATTATTAGTTTGCTTAAAAGCTTTACTAAGATTCAAACTAACAAACTCTCTTGTAGAGTTACTTGTAGCAAAAGGAAAACACCAAAAGAAAATATTCTGATCATACCACACTGACTGGCAATATTCCCCTGCCCTTACACCCACTAGCAATTGCTGATACTAGTGAAGTCTTCAACATAGTAGTCATGCATTCACCAAGCATGCTAATATGGACAAGATCATAATCTTCTCATTCTAATCCACAAAGTCAAATGCCTCTTCTGACAATAATGTTGAGCATCAACCTCCACATCCATAAATCCAAGTGTAAACCAACCATAACCATCAACAAGCATGCTATTACAACATTACCGGGGACATCATCTTCTTGTTGTAGAACCCAATCACTTTGGTTCTTGATCCACCATCCATAGGACTCATTATACAAATAAGTCCCTTAAGAATCTCCCAATAAAGCACAACCACTACCACTCATTCAGGTTAGCACAAACACCTGAATTCTATGGAGAGAAATAAACTCTCAAACTTTTTGAAGTATAGTGTTTAGATAGCAGACTTGCATCACCACATCAGATGAATATCCAGCTCCCATCAAGATGTTTTCCATCAGTCATATACACTTTAGACTAATACCCAACTCCCGACAAGGTATTTGCCATCACATGAAAACTACCTCACACACAAACAACAGATGATGCTCCCCTTCTACAAATGTTAGAACATTTGGTATGACTTCCTGCTTCTGTATGCCACTAGTACACAAGGATTTTTCATCGTGCCAAACAATCATATACATCACTTCATATATGGTTAGTGACTAGACTTCACACCTCTCCATGGTCAGACACACTAACACTGAATCTAATGGTGATCAGTATTCCTTAAATCATTATATTCAAAAAAACTTCCTTATCAAAAGAAGTAAACCACTGAGATGATGTTCTAACATCAATTCAGACATCAATCTCAATCACACGGATTTCACCCTTAACTATGATACGAGAGACAATACCATAGTAATCTAAATACATCTCTTAAAGAGAACACAAGAGAACCATACTGATACTCATCATCAACTGATCATCCCTCTAGACCAGACATAAATCCATGCAGTAATTTGCATAAAACACATTTCATGAAGCTTCTTCTCTACCGCACAATGTCCAGACCTCTTGTTTGACTTAGAGGTGTTAGACATCATCCTAATGCATCAATAGAGGAGATTCCCTATAGCAGACATTTGTAGGATTAACCATAATAGATGGGGTATTGTATGATCATCAACCCTCAACCAAACTGTTTAGAATAAGTATGCTTCTTCCAATCCTTCAAGCCACAAAAACTGGAAGACCTCATCCCAAACAATTTGGATGATACTCCAAACACACAGACTCCAATCAACCACTGAATGACACACACCACATCTGTCAATTAATCTTCCAAAAGAATATTAAATCAACTCAGGTTGATACATCTTCATTGCACATAACCCTTTGAACATCTTTTTTGACTATAGTAGAACAAGAGTACCATGTTCTCATAGACTTGATAATAATACCAAGTTAGAGTAAACAACCTCCACCCTGTTTATGAGAAACATCAGCCAGACATATTTGAGAAAAATAACTTCCCAACCCAGTGATGTCAAGACATTATGTCTGACATTTCTTCAAGGTCCTCCAACTCCAGAAAAACACAACAAGAACTCCTCCTGAATAACTACTAAAAACACCTTGAGAGAACCATACATTCTCCTCCTCAATAGCAGCAAAATAGCAACATGCATGATTCCACAAATCTAGCCCATTTGATCAGAAGACTCTTCCAGATGTCAGAGAGGATAACCTTGACAATAATCTTGACATCCTAAAGAATCTGGTTAGCATAATAGATCTTCACTAGAATATAGAGCTCAGCCTCTGCACTCCTACTTACTTTGATCAGAAATAAACTGACCCAATAAGCAATAAATAGGTTGATCATCTCTTGACCACTCCACTCATCTAATACATTTTTCTTGGATAGAAACATCTCAGATACATAACACAAATTCCTCCTATTCCAAATCAGAAGAAGGTTCTAAACATATATGATCAACACACATTTATTTAGCACCTAGAACATCAACTATGCAAACAGGAATATGCACACCTGCTGATAAGATGTTCCATCATCC